CCCTGCTGCCACTCACATTCCCCCTGTTGTCTTGCCCTCCACCTCTTTCTCCACCTGTCCCTCCACCTCTCCATCCGTCTGTCCCCCATCCCTCCCATTCGTACACGTACAGCCGCGTTCCCGTGCTCCCCGCGTCGATGACAATGCAGTGCTGCTGACGTGGACCCGCGATCCTGAATTTCGAATCTCCACCGTCAGATCTCGGCAGGATGACCCCCTCCTCCTTATTTTCTTCCTGCTGTCGTTTTGGCTGTACCGAATCGCGCGAATGCAGCGAACTTCGCGACAGCTCGTCGACGTATCGCGCGTCCTGTAACACGGCGCGAGTTTGACCCGATTCGATGGGAGAGGAGGAGAGGGCGAGCGGGAAGAGAACGACCCACCAGCAGCACGCGAGCGCTGCGAGCGCCGCTAGCAGCAGCAGCCAGTAATGGCGGCTGGAGGGCATCGCTGCGGCGACGCGTGAGTCCCTTCTGAGCCAGACCGGGCTACTAGCTGTTACTATCCGTTACAAGTAGCAGCAACCAGTAATGTCGGCTGGAGGACATGGCGACCGCGACGCGTCACTCATGAACGACTATTGCGTGTCGCGTGCGACTTTTGAGACGTTCCAGAAGTGAACGACTATTACGTGTCGCGTGCGAGAGGCGGGAAGAAGACTTCATGCTTAGATCGTTACTAGCAGCAGCAGCAGCGGCAGAAGCAGCTAGTCGCGAGAGGCGGCGCGTGCAAGAGGTAGGAAATCGTCATGCTGATGTAAATCCGTTACTAGAAGCACTTTAGAGAATTCTCAAAAGACGGGAAGACGTCACGCTATAGTCGTTGCTAGGAGCAGCAGTCAATCGTAGCGGCTAGAATGCATTTTATGCGCGACCCGGCGTGAGCCATTCTTTTCATTATATGTCGTACCATTCCGCGTCGTATAATTTATTCCGTGCAGTCGACGGGAGATGCGTCGCATGCGAGAGGCGAGAGACGGGAGATGCGTCGCATGCGAGAGTCGAGAGGCGGGAGACGGGAGACGGGAACCAGCTGCAGCAGCGGCAGATGCAGCAGAGTGGCGGCTGGAGGAGCGGCGAACGGGACACTCGCAGTGTGGCAGTGACCGTGGGGGAGAATGCGGAGATGTTCTATAAATGAAAACTCATTTCATGAGTGGGTTCATGTCAATGGCTGGTGACGGAAGTACGTAACAAGCAGCAGCCAGAAGCAGCAACTATGAAGCAATCCTTGAAGTAATCAAGGTTGTCCCACTGCACAAGCAGTGACAGGCGAGACAGAACCTGAGGAGGCTGCATAGTCGTGGGAAGATCGAGGCTGGAAATGCTGGTGGTGGCAACCTAGATGGCTGACAGAAACTGGTGTAAATGGCGGTTGACATCGTTTTATGTGGTACGAGGCGGTGAGGATGAAACGGCAAGATCAGATGCACAAGCACACCTTATTTTTCTCTGCAGCAATCACATATCCAAGATAATGTAGGTGTTTTTTTCTTTCGATAGGAGATGTAAAAAAGCCCAGACATTATTATTTTGGTAAAATAACATTATTTTTTCTGCTATCAAGGACATGTTTCTCGTGTTTTTGGTACCCGGTCTGTTCAATTTGCGTTAAAAATACCATATTTGAGACTTACTCACCTAAAATATTTAGCAGCTTTCCATTCACACAATACCGGCAATATCCTTCCGAACTAGTGTGTCTCTTTTCCTCATTGTGAAGCCGTATGATGGTATTCTTGTTCATTTCAGTTCATCCTCACTAGATGATCGTTCTGATGTTCTCTATATCGAATTCGACGTCAGTTAGGGCGGGGTGCATCATGATGAATTTGCATGATCGCCCCCTGATCGCGATGCTAGAACCGCAACCCTGTGGAATCCGGTTGGGTTGGGCGTGCTCGGGATCCCCTTCGATTCAAAGGCACCCTTCTATGATGCACCACATGCAGTTTTGCAGTCCCGATCCCCAACCATCAATGAGACGCGGTCAAGGCGTCGCATGCACAGTTTGGTTTCAGCGTTGATTCCGTAACCCATTTCGTCATATCTTCGCTTTTATTTCGTCTTGTCGTTAGGCGACGAATATTTATCGCGAACAAGATCGGCGTGCACGTGGTGCACCTCCAACCCATGATCACATGGGATCGCAGGGTCTCAGATCCAACGTGATCGAGGGTGGTTGGGTGGTTGGTGTCGCGATCCCCCAAGATCGTGGTGCAGCAACGCTACAGTAATCACTGTACATACGACAAAACAGTGTAACAATGTCGCTTGGGATCGCGATCCTGAAAAACAGCATGATGCACCCCGCCCTTAGCTGACTGGCTCCAACGCGTCATCTCGTGCGAGAAATATCAAGGGCATTTATCTTAGCGGTAACACTCATGGAGCTCGAGCGCACGCGAGGTAAGCCACGTTTCCAAATCGTAACAGAGATGTCTTCTCATCGCCATGCTGTATTGGTCATGCGAAGATCGTCAGGCGTCGTCTACTCTCGCCCAGTATTTCGCCAAATTGTGTCCATATGTGGCACACTCACAGCCCCCGCGAATCTGGAGGATCCCATGTCACGGGCAAAGCTTTGCGAGCATTGCTCCTCTGCGTGCTCATTGATTGCCCATTCGTCCAGCAGAGCCCTCGAATCGGGGAGCCGACCTGACCTGATCCTCAGGCCCACTGTCCCGTGGTTCAAGCTGGGTCTCTGTTTGACCATGGAGTTCGCTTGTCAAAGCACCAGTTGAGCGGTGAGGGACGGGGGAAGGGGTGGGGGGAGAAAGTGGGCGGGGGGGCGCGCAGGGAAGGGGGTTGGGGGAAGGGGGTTGAGGTGGTGGGGTGGGGCGGGGGTTCACACAAAGTCCCGCGACTATGCTGAGGAACGAGGAAAACTGTTTTGGGTAGGTCAACGATTTCGTGCGAACCAAAATTACATACAGTACATCGACCCACCCGGGGCATATTCCACTGGTGCAATGCCTTGAGCTCCCGAAATCAGGGAAAAGGCTCAAGCAGTTTGCACATTATCCAATGACGGCCGTTTCGCTCTGTGCCTAAGTCAGCAGTGTGACAGGAAACAGTCACCAAGCCAGGACCAGCTTCGCTGAACTCAACCACTCGAGCATTTCCCCGCAACCGTCTCGTTTCCTTCGAAAAAAAAATACCCGCCTGCGCGGCCGGTGCCCCTCCCTCACGGACCAGGTACTCTGATTGGTGGATTCATGTTCCCTCCCTGCCCGCCTAGCTGGTCAGCTTTGAATCTCCGCGCGTGACAGGACATTCAGTTTCCAAATTCCAATTCCAACCGCTTGACCGACCTTTTCTCCGCGGAGACGATTGGCCTGCCCCCGCTAGCCCCCTCCCTTGTTGCGGGCGGATGACGGAGAACAAAATTCTTGAACAGGCGCGCGGAATCCCCGCAAGCAGCACGGGGGTTGCACACCTCGGGATCAAAGCCACGAGGCCCCCGAGGCCGGAGGGCCAAGCAGCGAGCGCCATGACAGCACCAGCGTGGCGGTGCCTCGCCGTAGCCCATCCGACACAGCATTGATTGATCCGATCTCCAGGCGCATGCGCGAAACGTCAGCTTCTGCCGACACCCACGTCGCGAGGCATTTGTGCGTGAACCATGCGGAAATCTTGTGGGGGAAGGCAGGAGTGCGCAGGTAAAAAAATGCGCAAGTATGGCTCGGTGTAGGCGAGCACAACCGTGCTGCGTACTCTACTCTACTGTGGCGGAAACAAGCACGCGGAGTAGAAACAGCAATCTTTCCGCCTCAATAAAGACCAGCCAGTCACGTCAAACCACCGTTTCCGCCTCTCCCCTCGAAGTCACCGTCCCCCCCTAAAACTTCCCGTCAAGTTCCGACGCCAACAAAGTCCTTCCAGCTGACCAGCCCAACCAGGTGGGCAGTAGGCACCGCCTTCCTGCCCTCCCTCGCCGAACAAAGTCTTCTGCGCACTCCGCGGTCCAACCTGCTCATTCACTGTCTGCCCGCGCTGCTCCGCTCTTTTCCCCTCCCCCCTCGCTCTGAATCCTCCCCCCCTTCCCCGCTGCTCTTGTGCGCTCCCGTTACAGTATATTTCATTCATCCGCTGCAATCTAGAATTCTGCTCATTTCCTCGCAGTCACTCTTCAATCAGCCATTCCGCTCCGCTCTCCCACGAGTTTTCCAACTTGCGAACTGGCTGTCGGTTTTTCAAATCAAACAATGCGCGGACCCCCTTGCTCAGCCATTCAGCCATTCCTGCTGCCGTCTTGTGTTCCCAACCCCCCCCTTCTTCTCACCCTTTCTTCCTCAACCTCCTTTCACCGTGGAACCTCCTGGTTCAACACTCCACTCCCCTCCCCTCCCTGCTAAAATATTCTTCATCATTCTTCTCTCCGTTTCCGTCGCGCGCGTCTGAAGCACCCAAGCGCACCGCGCGTCTTCGGAACCAGCCATGGCTGCTCCGTCATCCCCGCTCCGCGCAGTCGATCCCGTGGCTCGAGGCGTCACGGCCCTCGAGTCGTTTCACCCGAGGCGCGCGTCTCTCGGGACGATGCCGTCGGATCCGCGTCCGACGGCGCTGCAGAAGCTTCACCATTCGCCAGAACCTCCTGGTGCCGGGCCTCTGGCGCGTCAGACCGTTCGCGAAACGTGCGAAGCTCCGGTTACCGTTCTCGCCGGCGATTCGTCGGGGAAGTCAGTGTGTCCGCAGAGACCAGTCGCTGCGCCGGTGGGAGCCGCGAACGTTGACGCCGACCCGTCTGACTGCACCGTCTTCACTGACGGACGAACGGTTGGATTGACGGACGAGGACGGGGGCACGCGCTCCGTTTTCTGTCCCGAGTCGCGGTCAAGAAACCCTTCGAGTGCGGAGCAGCAGGTTGGTTGACCTATAAGTGACGGCTCGCGCTTATAAGTAGCGTTAGGAACGAGTTTTGTCTTCCGAGCGACTACCGGTAGGCCGAACCAGCATAGTTCGCGCGATGGTATGCCGAAGCAACGGTAGACCGAGCCAATGGTAGGCCGAGAGCTGATGTGAGCTCAGCTTTTAGAGTCGATTTTCGAGGCGCCTACATCATCGTTGTAGCCGTCGTGTGCCCAGTGCCGCCGCGGCGTGGCGATGCTTCTTTGGTTGGATTCGGATCGTACCGCTATTCTTGGTCGGGGCGCTTCGTCAGTGCCGCTACTGCCTGGTGCGTTTTTGTCCTCGATGTTACAGGCTTCTCCGATATAGTCACTCGTTAAGCTGTCGCGCCGACGCTGCGTCCAATCAGGAGTTTCGCGCCGACGCCGTGACCACACTATTCGTTCTTCCCTCGCGCACGCTTCTTTCCCCTTCCGGTACCGCCCGTTGCTGCCGTTCCCCCTAGCGCCGTTTTCCAGAGCACCGTTTTCCCAAGCGCCGTTCCCCCGAGCGCCGTTCCCCCGAGCGCAATTCCCTCAAACACTGTTCCCTCAAGCACAGTTTGCTTGAGCATCGTTCCACCGAGCGCCGTTTCCCCGCCCGCCGTTCCCGCGAGCTCCATCCGTCCGTCCGACCGTCGCCCTTTTTCGTCAGAGCGCCTTATAAGATTCCCCGCTGCGCTCAGTTTCCGCGCCGCTCAGTTTTCGCCGCTCTCAGTTTCCGCGGGTTCGACTCTTCCCGTTAGCCGCTGTTCTCTGACCGACTTTCTTGCTCCGCCGTTTCCTCGTTCCGCGCTCCTCGTTCCGCGTTCCTCGATCCTTGCCTCTCTCTCCCCTCTCCTTCTCCATCTGTCCGCTGTTGACTGAACTCGTCCTGTTATTCTCCCCTTTTTCCCCTGACTCGGTGCTTCTCTCTCTCGCTCTTCTTTCATCAGCCTACTGCTGCTGCGCAATCGCACTCGCACTCGCAATGGATTGACGTGGCGGAAACCGTTTCCGCGGTGCCCTCGCAATCTCCCGACGTCGGCGGTGCTTCGTGTCCGGCAGAAGAGCTCGAAGCGGCACGAGCTGACGCGGATAACGCGGATATCGGGATTCAAGAGCCCGAGGCGGAAAAGGCGGAGGAAGCCGAGGGAGAGAGAGGAGTGAGCGGAGGAGAAAGGGAACCTCACGACGCGGGAAACGCGGGCGACGCGGGTTACAAGGAAGATTTCAGAGACGGAGTGGAGGAGCGGGAGTGGATGAATGCGACAAGTGTGGAAATCGAAGGAGGGCAATTGGGGGATGCGGGCGGCCGTGATGATGACGCGGACGAGGAGCATGCTGACGTGGACAGGGAAGGCGCTCAATCAGACCACCAAGAAGGCGCGGCGGAGGGGGAGGCGGAAGAGGGAGAGGCGGAGGGTGAAGAGCAGACGGACGAGGAGGGAGAGGAGGAAGGAGAAGAGAGAGGAGAGGGAGACGGGGAGGAGGCGGATGAGGAAGGAGAGGAAGGAGAGGAAGGAGAGGAAGACTTGCTCGCCATTCCTACGGACGACATTGCGGGCCCCATCGACTTGCTTGACCGCGTTGATTGCGTTGACCCCGCTGACTCCGTGCGCCGCGACTCCGTTCACCACGTTGACCGCGTTGACCGCGTTGACTGCGTTGACCCAATGGACGGCATGGGGTGCCTCGACGGGTTGGAAACGCGCTGCCTCGCGGATTTCGAGGACATGCTGCCCGCAGGCGACGCGCTCGACATGCTGGTGAGCGTGCGACTTTGTTCGTATGAGCGTGCGACATGCGACATTCTGGTGTGAGCGTGCGACGTGCTGGTGAGCGTGCGACGTGCAGACGCGTCACAGCGTAAAGGTGTTGTGAAGACAAGCTGGCGTCACATGCTCATCTGTCGTTGGTGGTGTTGATGTTGGTAGAGTTGGGTTGTCATAGCATGACGACATCCGGGAAATGAAATAAGACGTCGCGATTTGAGCAATCTGTTGTGACCTGAAAGATAAGAGGGTTTTGAAGGGGTTTGACTGAACTCCGCGCACCGACTCACCCAGTAGGCTCAACGCAAAATTCCAGCAATCGTTGTCTTTAGTACCAAAGAAAAGTACCAGAGGAATAATTGTCTAGAGCGCTCGGCGCTGGTCTCTTTCCGATGCGCCCCTCCCTCTTGTCTCCTGTTTTCTGTTTTTTTGCCCAATATTTGTGTCCCCCCTCCGCCCCGCCTCTCCCCTTCCGCCCGCGCTTTTCCCCTCCCCTTCCGCGCAGGGCGACGATTGCCTGTTGGCGCTGGGCGCGGGTCTCTTTGCGGACGACCTCTCTTCGCTGCTGCCCATGCCGCCGCATCACCCCTCCTGCCATGCTAAGCCATCCTCCTCCTCTGCCCCGGGCGCTTCCGCCCCCTCCGCGCGCGCTCCCCCGCACGCTGCGGCTGTGGCGGGCAAGACGAGGCGCGCGCCTCACAGCAGCGCCGGCCTCCGGAGGAGCGCCAAGGGCGGGAGCTATGGCAGTGACAGCGGCAACGGCAACGTCAAGAGAAGTGGCGGATCTATGGCGATCTCTGTGGCTCGAAAATATTTGATTTGCGATCAAGATGGGTATTCCGGAAGCCCTATCTCCACCCTCGCTCCTCTGCGCTCCTCCTCCTACTCTCTCCCCTCCCCCTCGTCCCCTCGCTCCCCACCCGCCCGCTCCCCCCGCTCCCCTCCCGCCTGCTCCCCTTCCGCGCGCCCTGCCTCCCCCTCTCCGCTCGACCGCCTCTTGCTCTCCCCCATCCCCGGCAAACGGCCGAGATCTCACCGCCCCCTCGCTCGTGGGCGAACCTGGACCGTTGATCTGCTGAACGATCTGCTCCATCCGACGGGGGAGTTTTACGCGCCAGAGCACGAATGCGACGAGCATGTGTTGCTAGACCAGGCGCAGCAGCAGCAGCGGCAGTGGCGGCAGCAGCAGGAGCAGGAGGAGCACGAGGAGCAGGAAGAGGAGGAGGAGGAGGAGGAGGGGCAGGAGTGGGAGCAGCAGGGGCACTCGCGTGTTCGAGCTTATAACGGGTATTTTCGCTCAAGCAAGCAGTATGGCGCGTCAGCGCAGTCCGGAAGGAACAGGAAGCACAAAAAGGTCGAGCAGAGGGGCAGGCAGAAGGGCAAGGGGCGGCCGCCTTACACGGGAAGACCTAGGGGGCGCCCTTCTAAAGCCGCCATTGCTGCCCGATTGGCTGCTGCTGCCGCCGCAGCAGCAGCAGAGGCGGAAGCAGCATCGGCAGCAGCAGGAGCTGGTGCTGCTGGTGGTGCTGGTGTTGCTGCTACTTATATTGTGCCTATCCTCTCGTCGCCCCTGCATAGAAACACCCCTGCTTCTGCTCACGCTGCTGCTGCTGCTGGCGCTGCTGCTGGCGCTGCTGCTGGCGCTGCTGGTGGTTCTGCTGCCGAAGCGTCTGGACGGCTGAATGCGACGAAACGCCACAAGCCGTCCCCTCTCTCGCGGCTATCCGTCTCAAGCTCAGACCGGAGCGCCAGCACCGTTTCCTATGGCTCGGACTTCTTTTCCGGGCAGGTGGAGTCCGTTTTCCAGCTGCCCGAAAGCGCGGTCGCGGCCAATGGCGTTGTGAAAACCGCAGCGGGCAGAGATTTGGGGGCAGATGGGGTACTGTGTGGTTCCCTGTCGTCAGCTCTGCCGAGTCTCTCTGGGGCTTCGTCATTGGCTGGCGAAATTGGTACCGGTGGTAACATGGCGACGGCACCAATCTCGTCAGCAGCGGCGAAAGGCCCTGCCACTCCCTCTGCTTCCACTGACGCTACTGCTGACGGTACTTCCCCTGCCGCCGCCGCCGCCGCCGCTGCTGCTACCGGCGATTCCGCTGCGAATGCGAATGCGAATGCGGCAGCAGCAGCGGCAGCGTCGAACGGTGCTGTTGCTGTTGTGCGGCGCTGCCTGCACTGCTCCGTGACCAAAACCCCCCAGTGGCGCGCAGGGCCGTACGGGCCTAAAACCCTGTGCAACGCGTGCGGGGTTAGGTACAAGTCCGGGCGGCTGTGCGCGGAGTACCGCCCCGCGAATTCCCCCGAGTATGTGGCGGAAAAGCACTCTAATTCGCACCGTCGGATCGTGGAGATGCGGCGCTCTGTGATCGCCACGTGGCAGCAGCTGCGGCGGGTTGGGGACGGGGGCGAGGAGGAGGGGGAGGAGGGGGAGGGCGTGAGAGGGGGGGTGGGAGAGGAGGGGACGGTGAGGGAGGAGGAGAGGATGAAAGGGAGGGTGAGAGAGGTGAAAGTAGAAAGGGGAGAAGCTAGTGTGGGAGTGAGTGAGGGGGGAGAGTGGAGTGAGGGGGGTGAGGGGGGTTTGACTGGGGAAGGGAGTGAGGCGGGGCTGGGAGAGCTTAAGGGAACGGAGGGAGGGTTGTTGTCTCCTTTCTTTGAGTATCGATGCCAGTACAAGAAGGGAGGAGGGAGGAGGAGAAAGCGAGTTGTGGAGGAGGAGGAAGAAGAGGAAGGGAGGGAGTGGGATGATGAAGAGGATGAGGGAGAGGAGAAGGAGGGAGAGGAGGAAGAGATGGAGGAGGAGTGGGAGGAGAGAGAGGAGCGGAGGGAGAGGGGGGAGGAGTGGAAGGGACCGAAGCGGCTGCAGAGGCTCGGCAAGGCCCAGGGGCAAGAGCAGAGGTTCGGGGGAGGTAGGGGCGGAAGGCGGAGGCTGGGGCAGTCGGGGGAGCAGGGCGCGGGGCAGAGGGTGGGGCAGGTGGAGGGGAAGGGAGAGGGGGAGCGGGTGCGGGAAGGGCGGGAACACGGACAGGAGCAACTAAGAACGGATTCATCTGCGTCTGGAAAGGGACGGAAATTTGCTGGTTCGAACCAGGCAGGTTTGAAACAGGCAAGGGTGGTAAATGCTGGTGAGAGAGCAGGCGAAGGGGAAGGGGAGTGGGCGGGGGAGGCGGAGGCGGAGGAGGAGGGCGGGCGGAAGGGGAATGCAAGGAGGTTGGGGAAGCAACTGGAAAGGGGGGAAGGGATGCAAGGGGAGAAGGGCGGATGGAGGAGTGGGGAAAAGGGGGAAGGGGAAGGCGCGGTGGGGAAAGGCAAGGAGGGGAAGGGCAGGGTAAGTGGGAAGGAGGGGGAGAGAGAGAGTAGGGGCTGGAAAAAGAGACGCGCTATTGAGGGACCCGATTGTAGTGAGAGTGTGATAGGTAGTGTCGGTCATGCTGTAAAGAAAAGCAAACTCGCCGATGTGACTATGAAGGATGTGACTGTAAAAGAGGTGACTGTAAAGGAGGTGGCGCTGTTTGCAGTGGGCAAGGGTGGGCGGCTGAGAGTGAGGAGGGATGTGAGAAGGGGAGAGGTGGAGGGTCCATTGGTGGTGCAGGTTGTAACGTCTCTCTTCCCTTCCAGCACGAAGGGTGCAAAGAGGGGATGGGAGAGCAAGGGCAGAGTGAGCAAGAGCGGGGGGTGCAGGGGAGCAGGGAGCAAGGAGGGACAGGGGGAGGTGCAGAGGGCGAGAGTTGGTGGTAAGGTGGCTGGGTGTAAGGCGGGAGGTGGTAACAGAATTGGGAAGAATACAAGACATGAAGACATTCCCACTGCTCCTGTTTCTGCTACTGCTGCTGCTTCTGCTGGTGGTGGCACTTCTGCTGCTGCGGCTGTTGCTCCCTCTGGTGCAAGCCTGGGCGGAGGAGTGAAGGTGCGATTCTCACTAAGGAAAGTGCCCGGGCATGGGGGAGGGAGCAGGGGCAAGCCCATTGGTGCGGCCACAGTCAAGCCTATTAGCGGAGGTACAGGCAAGGCGGCAAGTGGGGCTGCAGGGAGCACGTCCAGTGGACTTGTGAAGTGTGAGCAGTTGGGGGGGAGACCGGCAGAGCAAGACGCACTTCAGCAGAAGGAGGAGCAGCAGCAGCAGCAGCAGGTGCTTTCGCATGGCAAGGACTCGGCTGTGAACGTACCTGTTGTTTCACTTGAGCTGGCACCTGAAGGCAAGCTGTCCTCTCCAGTCCCTGTCACCCCTGTTGTGGTGGTAGCACTTAGTAACGAGGCTGACTGCTCAGCTGCCGCTGCTGCCACTGCCACTGGTGCCACTGGTACCACTCCCACCGCTGTTGCTGCTGCTACTGTTTCTGCAGCAGCCTCTGCACCTGCTGCTATCCTTGCAGCAGTTGCTGCCACGGTCAAGAGAGTCGGTGCAGCAGCCCCAGCAGCAGCCCCAGCAGAGCACGCAGCACTGTGCCCTGTTTACTCCGGCGCACCAACATCCGAGTCCACTTTTGAGGCGCCTCGAAAGATCCCAGCAGCAATCCCTGCCGTAACCTCAGCAGCAGACCACTTGGCACTGTGCCCCGTGTTCTCCGGCGCACTAACATCCGAGTCCATCCTCCTCCCCACCGAACCTGCTTCTCTACAAGCTGCTTCGTTAGAAGCTGCTCCGCTCCCTCTGCGGCCGAGCCGCGGCAAAGCGGACTGCCTGCTGCTGGTGAACCCGTGCTCTCCGCACGGGTCCGAGTCCATTCTCCTGCCATCTCTCACCCCTAGTGCAACCGTGCCGATTTTCGAGTCGACTCAAAGCGTGAACCCGTGCCCTCCGCACGGATCCGAGTCCCTTCTCCTGCCGCCCCTTAACCCAGGGGCAATCGCCTTCGATTCAGGGTGGCCCGACGTCAACTCAGGAAAGGTCGAGCTCAACACAGGGAGGGTGGAGCTCAACGCAGGGAGGGTGGAGCTCAACGCAGGGAGGGTGGATATCCCCTACAACTCTGAAGAGCTCCCAGGAGCTCCGTTTGAGCCGGAGATGGATGTAGTGCGACTGGAGTGTGAGCTGCTGCAGGTGCATGCGGGGTTTGAGGCGCATGGGGAGCAGAGTGCAGTGGAGAGCAGCGTTTCTCCGGATGCCAAGCCGCCAGTGGCACGGGATTGCGCGGCAATGGCAGCCGGAGAGGTGGCAGCAGTAGGAGGGATTGCGAGTGGAGTGGTTGACAGCAAAGCAGTTGTATGCAGCGTGGCAGACGGGGGGAAGGACCCCGAGACCGTCCTTTCTGACCTCAAGCCTGCTGCTGCTGCTGCTCCCGCTCCTACTGCACCTGTTCCTGCTGCTGCGGTTCCTGTTCCCGCTGCCTCTCGTGCTGCTTCTCCTGGTGCTTCTCCTGCTGCTCCTCCTGCTGCCAATGCTACTACTGCAGGAGGCTCCTTGCTGCTACCTGTGTCGGACAAAGGCATCCTGATAGGAGGACCATCCAAGGGAGGTGCTCCTACTCCTGCTCGCTCTCCATCCATGCAGGCTCCTGTTTCTACCGGTGGTGCCAGTGGTACTGGTGCTGTCACTGCTACTACTGCTGCTGCTGCTGCGGCGGCAGCGGCTGCGTCAGTGCAGTCTAATCGTGGTGGAGGGGGCTGCTCTAATGGCATCTCGCCCACGTCCAATTTTGTTGCAGCGTCTGCTTAGCTGCTATGCTAGCTATACACCACCAACAGCTGCTCGACTTCAGAACCAGGTGGTCTAAAAGTTTTGTTTGGCTGGTTTGGTTTGGCCTGGTCTTGTTTTGTTTTGTTTTGTTTTGTTTTTCCTGTGTGGGCTTCACCATGTGGCTGTGCGAGCCAGAAGTTTGGTGAACCGCCACACAAGAGAACGAGTATTTGTTTAGATTAGTGGACCAGTGCTGGTCCCTGGTTTTTGTATGCTAAACCTACTGTTTGTACCATGTCTTTAAGAGTGATATTAATGATGTGTCTGGAGTGTTGGCATTCATTTTGCATGTCTTTATGCAAATTCATTCATTTTGCTTCGATCGTGTCCGTAAATGTTGCTCTTTGATAATATGCCAAACTCTCGGAGCAGCTGCCTGATTCGTCCGAAAAGATCCAATCAAGCCAGCGCACAAGTGGCACTTTCCAGGACCAGCTGGCTGGCGGCCCGTTGCCTCGCCCCAGATACCCCCCGTAGTGCGCGCCTCGTCCAGATCCCCCCATCGCTCATTCTCTACCGTTCATCGGGCGCCCATGACCGCCTTGATTTTGCTGACCTGGCGTTCAACGGACAAATTCTGGCCACCCATCTTCCCCTCCTATCCCCTGAATCCTCTTCCCTCTACCCTCCACTGCTTCATTCTGAAATTCACCAATGCTCTCTCCACCTCTCCTTTCCAACCAAAGCGGAATCTTGGGTCATGCTTGCTCTTCACATTGACAGAAAGTCCGCATGGGTACAATGCAGCGTGTCACGGTCATGTACGGTGAATTTCATTCACCGCTTTAGACCGTTGCGAATAGAAATGAACCGTGAAACGGTACCTTCTACTTTTCGTTGTACCTGAGAATCATGAGCTACCTAATTGAGTCCTTTTCATTACTCGCTTCTCCTCACTTGGGTCCCCCAAGGGGCCAACCATCCAATCATTCACTCAAGTCTTGCCTTCTCGTTAGCTCCTCCTTTCCTGAGCTTGATTTTACTCTTGCGGACAGATGATTATACGTAGAAACTAGTGATTGCAAGGCAAGAACTTGGCTTCTTGTGGTGCCAGTCGTTGGAGGGAGAGTCTTCCTCTAAGTCGCTTTCTTCCAAGCATTGGAATTTATACAGCGTGGTGATCCAGTCGCGTTGATACTCGTGTAATGCAAGCTGATTCGTAAACCCTTTTCCGTCGAGCCGGCTTGTCCACAATGGCAGCACAGCATTGGTTGATCTCTTGCCCGACGCTGCGATCTGGTTATGACACCCCTGGCATCACGGCATGGCAGAGCCATCCGCATAAAAAATATACGCATAGTAACCACCTTCCTGCAGATGTGCTTTCCTTAACAGCGGCTAGTTTTAGACATCAAACGACGAATCAACGAGCGCTTCACGGGCGAAGCGAGACGCGTGTAAGGGTTACTGATGCCTTCGGTACCGCGGACGCATCCTCGCCGTCCAAACGCCGCTGGTTACGGAACGGAAGGCTGTCAAGAACTGGCCGATTACCGTTGTCATTTTCCGTTCCGTCGGAATCTCCCGTCCTCCGATCGATACGAGCTGACGTGGCAGGGCCTCCGGCGTCGGCGGTGGATCAGGCGCGGCAAGAGATTGATGATTTCGCGAAATCGATTAAGCAGTTACAGAAGCAGATCCGTAGGAACGAGCTGTCGCAATCGTCGCAGGCGTCGCATTGGTCCCAATTGTCGTCCGCCGGCCCGCCTAATGGTGGCCGGCGGTTAGAAAAGTCGCAACAGCCCGAACTCAGCGACAGCAACGGAGGCTCAGTAGACTCGTCCTCCAATCAGCAGCCGATGCCGCTCCGGCCAGCCAATGAGATTCGAGCACGTGTCGATCACTTAGTGGAGCGAGCGCAAGCTCTCCAAGTTATGGCGTCGCAAGGATCCATGTCGTCCGGTCGCGTACCGGTTCAGATAGCATCGAATCTTAAAGCCCTGCAACGGGATTTCAACTCCGTGCATAACATCATCCGCCTCTCCCTTCCCTCCTATCTCTCCGACTCACCGCCGTCGCCCTCGTCATCACCCCCGTCGTCGCCGTCTCGTTCGCAGTCGTCGCAGTCGCAGTCGCAGACGCGTTCGCAACCACCTTTGCCCTCCCCGTCCTCCTCCTCCATCCTCCCGTCGCCGTATTTCGTCCACGACGCCCTCTCGTCGCAGGAGCCCCTTGAATTGTCGCCGTCGTCGTCGCAGGAGCCCGAGGTCGCCGCTGGCGATCGCCCAGCTGGCTCGTCTGCGACTGGCCCATTTTCAACATTTTCCTTTTCAACGTATTCATTTTCTACGTCGTCCTCTTCGGCCTCTTCTCCTTCGACGAAGGAGCGCGAGAAGGATGAAGACGCGTCAGCTTCAACGCAGAAGTTCCGATCCGTGGCAAGTACCCGATTTCGTGCGCGCGTTTCGCTTGCTTTCTCCCTCTTTTTCGCCGTTGGCGCACGATCCCCTGCTCTCCTGTGGTTCGACTGCTATTCGCTGACCATACCTGCGCTGTTGCGCTGTTGCGCTGCTGTGCTGTTGCGCTGCTGTGCTGCAGTTGACTTGTACGGGCGTGCCTACCTTGCCCGTACTCCCATGCTGAGCACGCACCCACTTCATACGTGTTCCCCTTTGCCCCTTCACCCCCATTCATATGTGTGTGTGTCTCTCTCTCCCTGCCCTCCAATCGCCATATCCCCGCCAGCCTCGATCGTCCTCCGACTCTCGCTCCATGACGGAGATCCGGCGCCGAGTGCAGGAACAGGTCAGTGTGGGTCAGTGCTCCTGAGGTGCTCCCCCCCCTCAGGTGCTCCCCCCCCTCAGGTGCTCCTCCCCCTCAGGTGCTCCCCCCCCTCAGGTGCTCCTCCCCCTCAGGTGCTCCCCCCCCTCAGGTGCTCCTCCCTCGTTCCTCCCTTCCTCCCTTCCTCCCTTCCGCTCCTCCTCGAGGGTCAGTGCCCGCGAGGGTCAGTGCCCGCGAGGGTCAGTGCCCGCGAGGGTCAGTGCCCGCGAGGGTCAGTGCCCGCGAGGGTCAGTGCCCGCGAGGGTCAGTGCCCGCGAGGGTCAGTGCCCGCGAGGGTCAGTGCCCGCGAGGGTCAGTGCCCGTGAGGTGCTCCTCTTTCCTCCCTCGTTCCTCCCTTCCTCTCGTCCTCCGACTCTCGCTCCACGACGGGAATCCGGCGCCGATTGCGCGAGCAGGTCAGGCAGTCAGTCAGCCAGGCAAGAAGCCAGTGAGCGAGTCAGCCAGCCAGCCAGTCAGCAAGTCAGTCAGATGGTGCGTCAGCCAACCAGTCAGTCGTCCATGCAAGCCAGCGAGCGAGTCAGGTGATTGGCCAGCTGGTCAGTCCGCCAGCCAGTCAGCTAGTGAGGCAGTCAGTGATTCAGCCGAGCATTCGGTTAGCCAGCCAGCCAGTTGTCCGGTCAGTCAGCCAGCCATTCAGCCAACCAACCAGCCAGTCAGTCAGTCAGCAAGTCAATCAGTGAGCCGGTCATTCAGCCAGCCAACCAGTCAGTCAGTCAGTCAGTTATCAGTCATCAGTCAGTCAGTCATCAGTCAGTCAGTCAGCCAGCCGGTCAATCAGCCAGCTAGCCGTAAGTCAGCCAGCCAGCCGTAAGTCAGCCAGCCAGCCGTCAGTCAGCCAGTCGGCCTGTCAGTCAGTCAGCCAGTCAACATGTCCACGTCGCGTTTGCTGTTTGTCAACATGTTCGAAAGAAACATTTATTCAAGACCGTGGAGACTTTATATTGACCTTTCATGTTCGACCACTTGTGCGGATTTTGTTCTAGTTCCTTTCTTCATGAGGCGCCTATGAAATCAACTCCATGGAAACGTGGTGCTTTTTTCACCCGTTCGGCTGCCATTTTGTGATACGAAGACGAATGGGTGTGCGGGTTTCCGGAGTAGCTTTGGATAAACTTAGAGCCACGCTTCAGGGGCAGTTTTTGCTGTTTCTCTTTCTCCCCTCGTTCTCTGCTCCCCTCCGCACCTCTCCTCCATGGCGACTGATATGGAAGCCAACGCCTCGCAGCTGGGACTAAGAGCGCCTGTCCCTCCCTCATCCCTCCTCCCTCCCGCCTTCTCCCCTCGTTCTTTCCTTCCCTTCGCAGCTCTCCTCCATGGCCACGGATATGGAAGCCAGCGCCTCGCAACTGGGACTAACAGCACCTGCATCCTCATCACCACTCACAACACCACAACCACCATCGCCATCATCACAGCAATCATCCTCTTCTCCACCTTCCCCTTCCCCCCTCGTTTTCTGCTCCCCTCCGCAGCTCTCCTCCATGGCCACGGATATGGAAGCGAGCGCCTCGCAGCTGGGACTAACAGCACCAGCTCCCTCGTCACCACGCGCATCACCACAACCACCATCGCCATCATCAGCGCTATCATCCTCATCAGCACCCAACGCTGCCGCCTCCCTCCCCTCCCTCTGGGCGCGCCTCTCCGACCGCGCGCCTCTCCCAAGCCTTCCGCGCCCTCCTCTCCCCTCCCCCCTCCCGCGCCTCCCGCTCGTCCCCCGCGCTCCCCTCGTCTCGAACCTCCCGCTCCGCCTCTTCCCCTTCCGTCGCCTCCCCTTCCGCCACAGCCCCCTCCGCCTCTGCAAAATCTTCCCCCTACGCGAAGGAGAAAGCGGATGTGTGGGGAGGGGAGGAGGGCTCGGAAGAGGCGGGCGGCGGGGGAAGGGGGAGCAGTCTGGCGCGGCTGGTGGGGGAGGTGCGCGCCAAGGGGTCGCTGCTAGAGGCGGCGGACGAGGCGCTTGAGGAGGAGAGCCGCCGCCTGCAGAGCAAGGTGCGTGGGGTAGGGGGATGTGAAGGCTATGGGGGATACGGCAAACCTGCAGATGGGGAAATGAGGGAACGGGGAAGAAGGGAGACTGGGAAAGGGAGGACCGAGAAGATAGAAGTTATAGGAAACGGTGGGGTTATGGGGGGTGTGGTGGGGAAAGGAGGCGCGGCTGGTGGGGGAGGTGCGCGCCAAGGGGTCGCTGCTAGAGGCGGCGGACCAGGCGCTGGAGGAGGAGAGCCGCCGCCTGCAGAGCAAGGTGAGGCGGGGGGCAGGGGGAAGGGAAAGGGGAATGGGGAGAAGGGTAAGGGGGAGAAAGGGAAAAAGGAGGTGCGTGGATGGGGTGTTCAAAACTTTGGGACGGGGAGTAGGAAAAATGGGAAACGTGAAAGGGGAAACGAGGAAGGGAGAAAGGGTTAAGGAGGACTGGGAATGGGGGTTGTTTCCACCCTTTTGCTCCCATGTTCCTCTCTCCGTCTCTCCCACTCCTCGTGTGTGGATGACGTGAAGTAAGTCGATTTTTTAGTCGACTCAAAAATGTTCCTCTCTCCGTCTCTCCCACTCCTCGTGTGTGGATGACGTGCAGTAAGTCGATTTTTGAGTCGACTCCAAAATGTTCCTCTCTCCGTCTCTCCCACTCCTCGTGTGTGGATGACGTGCAGTAAGTCGGTTTTTGAGTCGACTCAAAAATGTTCCTCTCTCCGTCTCTCCCACTCCTCGTGTGTGGATGACGTGCAGTAAGTCGGTTTTTGAGTCGACTCAAAAATGTTCCTCTCTCCGTCTCTCCCACTCCTCGTGTGTGGATGACGTGCAGTAAGTCGGTTTTTGAGTCGACTCAAAAATGTTCCTCTCTCCGTCTCTCCCACTCCTCGTGTGTGGATGACGTGCAGTAAGTCGGTTTTTTGAGTCGACTCAAAAATGTTCCTCTCTCCGTCTCTCCCACTCCTCGTGTGTGGATGACGTGCAGTAAGTCGGTTTTTGAGTCGACTAAAAAATGTTCCTCTCTCCGTCTCTCCCACTCCTCGTGTGTGGATGACGTGCAGTAAGTCGGTTTTTGAGTCGACTCAAAAATGTTCCTCTCTCCGTCTCTCCCACTCCTCGTGTGTGGATGACGTGCAGTAAGTCGGTTTTTGAGTCGACTCAAAAATGTTCCTCTCTCCGTCTCTCCCACTCCTCGTGTGTGGATGACGTGCAGTAAGTCGGTTTTTGAGTCGACTCAAAAATGTTCCTCTCTCCGTCTCTCCCACTCCTCGTGTGTGGATGACGTGCAGTAAGTCGGTTTTTGAGTCGACTCAAAAATGTTCCTCTCTCCGTCTCTCCCACTCCTCGTGTGTGGATGACGTGCAGTAAGTCGGTTTTTGAGTCGACTCAAAAATGTTCCTCTCTCCGTCTCTCCCACTCCTCGTGTGTGGGTGACGTGCAGTGCAGGCGGTGGTGGGCGCGATGACGAACCCTAATCTTCCCTCATGCCTTCCCTACCCCCTCCCTCCTCGTCCCTCCCCCCGCATCCCTTCTCCCAACCCCCACTCTCCACTCCAGGCGGACGAGCTGGCCGCATCGATCCGCGGGCGCCTCTCAGTCGATGACGTTCAAGCAGTGGTGGGCGCGGCAGTGGGGAACGTGCAGGTGGAGCTGGTGCGCGCGCGCAGGCGGACGAAGCAGCTGCTGTCGCAGCTGGAGATCAAAGACACGGAGCTGCGCGTGCGGCGCGAGGAGTGGGAGAAGGAGCGCGCCGCCATGGTCGCCACGCTCGACGCGCTCGTTAGGAAAGGCACGCTCGGGGGAGCGGGAGCAGCGGGCGCAGGGGGCGCAGGTGGAACAGGGGGAGCAGGGCGCGCAGGGGAAGCAGGGGGAGCGGTAGGGGACGGAGGAGTGGTGTTAGGAAGTGGCGATAGAATGGGAAGCGGGGGAATAGGAGGATTGGCGCCTGTGGAGGCGATGACACGTGGCATGAGCCTGACAGACGCAATGATGAGAATCTTATCCCTAGAGGCGGCTGTAGCGCGGGCGGAGGAGGCGGAGCAGGCTACATCCGTGCGGCTAAAGCGCGTTGCTGACGTGTTAGGGCGGGAAATCGCGAAGCTGAGAAAGGATAAGAAGTCGATAGAGATCCGGGCGCAGATGCTGACGTGGCGGCTGGAGATGATGCAGCAGAAGCTGGAGGGGCTGCTGGGGGGGTTGATGGAGATCAGGGGCGCGCTGATTGGTGGAAAGGTAGAGCTGGGGGTTCAGCTATTGGAGGAGCTTGTGTATGATGTGGAGACGTGGACTCGGCAGGGGAGGAAGCTTATGGAGAAAGAGATGGCTGGGTGGGAGGGCGGGAAAGGGGCGGGGGGGAAAGGGGCTGGGGGAAGAGGGGAGAGAGACGGGAAGGGTGGGCAGGCGGGGAGGAAGGAGGAAGGGGAAGGGCGGGAGGGAGAAGGGGGTGAGGTGGGAGGGGAGGGAGGGGAGAGAGAGGGTGGTAGTGGGAGTGTGAGGGCTGGGTGGTGGAAGGAGGGTCCGCCGGGGGAGTGGAGTGTGTATGAGGAGCGAGAGGATGGGCGGCTGGTGGAATTGGGGGAGGAGAGGAGGGAGCAGGAGGAGAGGAGGAAGAGAGAGGAGGAGGAGAGGAAGAGAGAGGAGGAGAGGAAGAGGGAGGAGGAGAGGAGGAAGGTAGAGGAGGAGGAGGTGGCTAGGGAGGCGGAGGAGAGGGAGAGGCGGAGATTGCTTGAGGAAGAGAAGGAACAGCAGGAGGGGGTAATAGAAGAGGAGGATGGGGAGGAATTGAGTGAGAAGGAGGGGAAGAGTGCGAGTGAGAGGGAAGGAGGGCCAGTAGAGGTCCATGTTCCACAGGGTGATGACGTGGACCAATCAAAAGAGAAGGCTAACGTGGGGAAATCACAAGAAGATGCTGACATGCAGATTGGGGCCGGTGAGGCAGGAGAGGAGGCGGGAGGTGGGGAGGATGAGAGGAGTGGAGGGGTGAGTGAACCGGGGCAAGGGCAACAAGGCAGGGAGGAGGAGGCGATGCAAGAGGCAGGGGATGAAGGTGAAAGCGTCACACAGGAGGATGGGGATGAGGGGCATCGAGACAAGGGGGAAAGGCAAGAGCGGGGCAAGGACGCGGAGGGTGGCAGTGGAGGGGAGGAGGTGGAGAGTAGTGATGAGAAGTGGGATGGTAGGCTAGCAGACGACACGAGTGAGGGTGAGAGAGCAGCTGAGGAGGAGCGGGAGAAGGCAGTCGAGGAGGAGCACGAGAGTGGAGTCGAGGAGAAGGAAGGCGAGAGGGACGTTGAGGAGGAGAGAGGAGCAGAGGAGCATGGAGAGGAGAAAGTAGATGAGGAAGGGAGGGAGACAGAAGAGGAGGCGGGTGCAGTGGGAGGGAGCAGTGAGACAGAAGAGGAGGGTGGGTCAGCGCATGAGGAGGTGCTAGTAGAGCAGGAGTGCGGTGGAGAGGGAGCGAGAGGGGTTGAAGAGGGTATAAGTGAATATCCTAGCGTTTTATCTTCTAAAGAAGATTCAAAGGAAGTGCGGGAGGCGCAAGGGGAGCAAGAGGAAGGGGCGGCGGCGGTGGAGGAGGAGGAGCGGGCGGCAGGAGTGACGCTGTACTATGAGACGGGGTGGCCGGAGGTGTTTGTGCACTTCAGTGCGGACGGCGCTGGTTGGACTGATGTGCCGGGTTCGAAAATGGCAGATTCGCCTCTCATAGGCGCAAACACACTGCCCCTCAAGGTGAGAGCGTTTTAAGGTGAGAGCTTGTCAAAGTGGGAGCATTTTAAAGGACAAGCTTAAAACTTTTCGATAGCTTGAGGTGAGTGGCTTCTTCAGTTGAGAACTAGAGAGTGCTGCTGGATTTTCGTCCAACAACAGAGCCGCCTCTCTCTCTCACTCCCAGCCCTTCTCTCTGTGTCTCTCATTCCCAGCCCCTCTTCTGTCTCTCTCATTCCCCGCCCTTCTCTCCGTCTCTCTCATTTCTAGTCGCTCTCTCCTACTCTTTCTCCAGCCCCCTTCTCTCTTTCGCTCATACCTCTAAGCCTCAAATGCCCACTTCCCATCGCCCCCCTGCCCCCTCCCTTCTCTCTCCCCAGGTGATCACCCTGCCTGTGACTGCCATGCATGTTGCCACCAACAGCAGCAGCGCCTCTATTCCGTCTCGCTTTCAGCTGCATCTCTCATGCACGCTTCTAACCGCCTCTTGCTCCCCCACCTCCTCCCATCTCTCCCCAAGTGATCACCCTGCCTGTGACTGCCATGCAGTTTGCCACTAACAACAGCGGACCCTTCTCTTCTGTCTCACTCCTAGCTGCGCGTCTCATTCGCCCGTCACCCTACCTCTTGCCCCATGCCTCCTCCCGTGCGTCCCCAGGTGCACCCTGCCAGGCTGCAATGGAATTGCCTCCAACAAATGAGCCCCCCTCCCCTATCTTGCGCTTAACTGCATGTCGCATTCACCCTTCAACCCCCCTCTCCCCATCCCCCCCTTCCTCCCACCCTTCAACTCCCCTTCCTCCCGTGTGTCCCCAGGTGATCACCCTTCCAGTGACTACTATGGAATTTGTCACCAACACATGAGGCTCCTCTTCTCTCTCGCTCGTATCTGGATGTCTCGTTCGCCCTTAACCCCCCTCTCCCCCCCCCACTCCCACCTCCTCCCGTGTGTCCCCAGGTTATTACACTCCCGGTGACTGCCATGGAATTTGTCACCAACAACGGAGGCACCGACTGGGACAGGTGGGTTCTGGGGTAGGTGAGGATGGGTTGGTGGATGGGTGGTGGTGGGATGCATTGGTGGGAAGGCAGCGAGTGGCGGAATGGATGGATGGGTGATGGGTGGGATACATGGGTGGTAAGGGATGGGTGGATGGATGGGTGATGGGTGGGATACATGGGTGGTAAGGGATGGGTGGATGGATGGGTGGCTGCTGGGAGGGGGGTGAGTTGGTGAGATGAATGGGAGCAAGAGCAAGTGTTGGATGCGTTGTAGATCAGATGCGGTGAGTTCTTGGTGAGATGAATGAGAGCTACACCCTCTGTGTGCCCTGCCATGCCATTCGCAAATCGGATAAGGATGTGTGTGGGTGTGCATGTGTGTGTGTTTTGTTCATCCCTCTTTTCCACCTCTGACCCCCACCCAACAGTCCACCCCTCGGCGGAAACTATACTATCAGTGGTCCAGGGATATACCTTCTCAGGTTGGGCCAAGTGGAAATCTTCATTCCATAAGAGGCGTAGGCCGTAGTGTTTTTGCTCATGATGTTGGTTGGTCGTGCATGCGGGATAACCATGAATTGTACCACATCAGTGAACATATGAGTTGGTTACCTAAGGATACAGCACACGAATCTGTCAGAAGCAGCTGACACTCCCATATTTTTTTAGCCAGGTGATATTTTCAGAAAGATTTGAATAACGATAAAAGCTTAGAAATGTCTACCTGACAGGTACTCACTGTAGACGTCCCTACGCTTTTTTCGGCTGCGATGGTACCACGCTGCTGAATTCAAACGACTATCGGAGCTGTTGTTGGAGCATCAATTGCTGTTCGCTGGCGAAACCGCCAAGCGCATTTTCAGGTCTTGGCTCATGTGAAGTGAGCAAAGGTAACGGTTTTTTGTGACCTGCTTCTGCATGCCCGACTGAGCTGATTGGGTGAAAAACCTACCGGATTCTTGTCGTCTTCAATATTGTACAGAGTGACACAACCTTCTGTGCTGTCGCGACTCATGAACAGAAGGGTGCTGTTCGCCAGCACCAATGAAGCAAAAAACCATGGGATAACGACGGGATCAGGAAGGTGGGTCTCGCCTTCCTGATCCCGTCAGTTATGGTTCGTTTACCTCCGTCAGCCTGGTCAGCCCGTAAAAAAGGTGCCGAGCCTCCCCAAACGTCCAAACCAACAATCAAAGTGGGTGTCTGGCGAACGCCCCCATTTGTCCACCAAAACGAACTGCTCGACGGCATATGGAAGCGGGGACGCAACTTCGTCCCCAGGCAAAGCTCCATCCCCAAGCCATGCCATCGCCATGCCCCGTTTTTCGAAGCACAGCAATGGTACAGCCGTCGCATTGCCGTTCAGAGGGGATCCTCTGAACAAGCCATTTGTTTGACAAAGGGGGGTTCGAATACCCCCCATTTTTCCCCTCCCGAACACACCTTCGATGTGCCCCCCGCGCATGACTTGAGCACGAGGTGGCGGGGGTTGTATTTGAGCGGGGTGGGTTTTATTAGCGTTTTCTACCCACGTTGAGCAATTTTTGGTCAGCGGGCAGCACAAGGGTCAGTGAGGCTTAACCTTCGCGCTATTGGGGGGAAGGTGGGGATGGACCTTCCCGATGCGGTTGCGTAATTTCGCTTTTCAAGCGCGCGAAGTTTCTGGAGCGGCATTACGCCCGTACCTCGGAGGAGGGCTCCGCCCCCGTTTCCAGATGCGGTCGCGATGCCGATGCCATCGTTTTCTGTTCAAGAAACGATTTGCTGGCGAACAGCACCAAGGTGGGGGTGAAGGTGAGTTGGGTATGGAAGGAAGGGACCCACCACCAGCACACTGCTGGGGAAGGTGGGAGTTGGGAGGGGGAGTGAGTGGGTGGGCTGGGGGGAAGAGGGGAAGAGAGGAGGGGAAGGGGGGAGGGGGGAGGGGGGAACGTGGGTGCTACCAATTGGAGGAGCACGCGGGAAGGATAGAACAACTGACGTCATCGAACTATGTGCCGTCGATCCACCGATCTGAACGGTTGACGTGTGATCCGCGGTCTTGTGGGCTGCCCATTGGGCAGTGCCCAGCTTTGTGAGAGAAGGTTTCTACAAATGCCTTCTAAGAACCAAGCGGATAGAATTCGTACCATCCAAAACTCAAGTTCTCAAAATGCACTGGTTTGTCTTCCTGGTACAGAGGTTTCACAAGTAATACACTCGGAAAATGGTGAAGGGAAATATTGTGCATACCCACGAGAAACGATTTGTACTTGATGTTAGCACCAAGATACTTGCCTCCAAATCGAAACCACCCCACCAGCAATCCATCCCACCAAGACGAAAGAACAGCGCCAAATTCATCCATCCAATCCAACACCTCCTTCTGCCCCTCCCCCCTCACCCCCCCCTACTTTCCCTCAGCCCCACCTTCTCCGTCCTTGGTGGAAAGTTGGAAACGCGTCACTAGCGCTGCGTCACCGCCTCCCGAACTCGCAATTCCATCCCACAAATGCATCGCACCTCCACTTCTTTCCTGTTTCTTTCAGTCTCATGATAGTCTCCCTCGTCAGAGTACCACTTCCGTCTTTCAATTCCGACTTCTTCATCGTTTCTCGTTCGTTCATTTAGGGTCATTTTCTCCAACGATTTCGTTCAGAAAAGCAGGCTTTCCGAGCGCTATGGTTGATATGAAGGCCGCTTTTACAACCACGACTGGGTGGACATCCGCGCAACCATCTAGACCGTTCATCGACATGCTTCACGGGGTCTCCGCCGTCGACATCCGCCACGTGTTCAATCTCATGGACCGGGACCGCGACGGCCGAATCTCAACCGTTGAGTTGGCATCCGTTCTTGCGAGCCTCGGCGAAAAACGGCCTGACGACATGGCGCGAAGGATGATGGCACAAGCAGACACTGACGGTGACGGCTTCGTTGACTTTAACGAATTTCTCGCCGTGAACAAGGCCTGTGTTGGCGCTGGTTCTGGTCCCGTTGCCGCAGGCTCACGGATTAGCAGCGGGAGGAGCGGCAGCACGGGCAGTCGCGGAAGCAGCATGGAAGAATTGGAAATTCCTCGTAACGACGCTGGGCTTGGCGAAATCTGCTTAGCTTCAGCTGGCGACGCTGACATGGCGGTCGTGGATTCGCCCGATTCTGACTCCGCGTCGATGGACGATCTCCTCGCGGCTTTCCGCTCGTTCGACAAAAACGGCGACGGTTACATCACGCCTGACGAACTTCGCGAGATGCTTTTGCGAATTGGTGCTGGCGAAGATAACGACGATGGAGACGTGTCATTGGCGGAATGCGAGAGGATGATTCGCAGGGTTGACGCGGACGGGGATGGCCGAGTGTGCTTCTCGGAGTTCGTGAACATGATGAGTGGTGATAATAACGAATTGAGCAACAGTTGCTGAAATACCTGATTTGGGTGTGCGGGTACCACGCAGCTGACTCCATCGTCAATCGTGGGCCAACTCCTCCCATTGGCTCGCTGATTATAATACCGCATATCTTGGGGAACTCTTTGCTGCCATAAGCCGTGAAATTTGAATAAATCAATAACTGGTTGCCCATGAAAAGGCTGGGACTGCTCCGGCACTCGCCCCTTGGAGTAGCCGCTGCTGATTCCACTTCCCCTAGTTACTTGAGTTCTATTTACCGTATTCTGAGTTGTCCGACGTCGTTTCCGCTGGTAGGATGAGTAGCATTGAGTTTGGTAGTAACAAATAAAGCATACGACGTCCCAAGCCAAGGGGCTTTTGCGACCAATTGCGACCAGATTTTTAGCCACCGCTGACCAAGGTTTCATGTCACTCAATAAAGTAGCCATCGTTTATATACTGATGGCTTGTTTGAGTTCAGGCTCTGTTATCATTTTACAGGAGTTCTACCATGTATGTGTGCATATAAGATATATACCCAGTATTCATATATAGCTGTTACGGGCATCGACATTATCACATAGTTAGGAATCATATATTGCTAATCTATAATGCTCATGTGATCACCTCTGTTGGTCGTGCTTTTGTACCTAACCCATTGGGACTAATACTTGAATGGTTCAGCCTGTTACAGGAATTGAGATTAAGTACACGATTATGCGAACCGTGGTAACCTGATACTCACGAATTGTGGGTACTGTTGCACAGAACCTTCTCTGAAACAGGCCCGGTGCGATTTGGTATAGCCCGTGTCGCATCTGAGAGGCAGATTGAGCGCAGCGCTCAAATCACATCAATTCTCCATATTGTCTAACCCGCGAATTTTTCCTTCGCTAAGCGAATCGCCAGTGCTTGGGTTGGGCACTCCTCATGAGTCGTCACGTGACACAAAAAGTATCCGTTTACTGGAGGTCATGGTCGCCCATCCGTCGCAGCGCTCGCCATCGTGTCGCAGTCAACGGACCGCGTTCGTTTCAAGTAATTCCTGCCCTGGACAGCGTCGTCTAGCCAAGAACCCAGGCTAGATTCAAACAAAAAGGTTTCCCTGCGAAGGAAAGCAAGGGCTGGGCGCGAAACGTGGAATCCAGAGTCGAATCGCGAAACCAATTCAGATCGCCCAATTCAACATTTCCCTGCAACCCCCATCAATTCAACACCTCCCCCTCTGAACCGAACTGAAGCCTCCGCACAGCAAGCTCAACTCCCAACCAAGTGCAACAGGGAGTTCGAAGGAGGATTTCTCTTCTCACCGCAGCTGGCGCAAATGAACGAGGGGGTACCAAGGCCCGCCCATCACTAAAAACCCCTTCATCCTCGCGGCTCGATTTTTCTCGTAATTGACCCAGGAGTGGCAGGCTTAGCCAGCCGATTGCGCAGGCAGCTCTTTATTGCGTCAACCCCAACGCAATAACGCGAGCATGTGTGGTCTCGCTCACGCGCTCCCATCTCACGAAAACGCAAGCCCTGCGCTACGGTGACGAATGCCTTTTGGTCCACAAACCTTGCCTCTCGCCCTTGGTATCCCAACTCGCACTTTCGTGCTGCCAGTTGGCCGATCATGCATGAAACGATCACATGAGCGGGTCGGCATTTGAGTCGACATTTGACA